TTTGTACCGGCGATATTTTTGTCCGGCTCTGATAAGTCGAACATGAAACGCTTATGCAGAAAATACCACCATGTTCAAAAGTGAATCAAAATAGAAAACGCATGCAAGTCATTTCAAAAATCGATGCCCAAGATACTGTAATGCAGGTAATTAAATAAACCGAATAATTTCACTGCTGTAGTATATGAGAAAAACAGTTACTGTATATATAAAGCTCAGTAGACAGTAGTAATATGCGTCTTACCTGGTGCGCTGAAGTCTTTGAATGTTTTGTTGGTAAGAGGAAAATGTAAAATTGTTGGGCATTCTGGATCTGACTGATCTTCAAATACATAACATTCTTCAATGTCAGAATTTTCCAAGACTGGGTTCCCGTCGATTTGCGGGAACGGGAGCCCTTGCTCCTTTGCCCAGCGTTCAGCCCTCAAAAGGTTCTGAGTTAATATAAAGTATAAAAGAGTGAACTTTGAGCTTTACCCCCCGAGCTTGCGTGCAAAGACCAACGTGAAAAAATTAGGTAGCTCAGTATTAAACACAGAGTCAGATCCCTCAAACATTTCTTACAAATCCTTCAAAACTTAGAATTTAGCCAGAAGTTACGGTTACCACTGAGTAATTTAAAAAAAATACAAAACAATGGATACTCCGAAAACAGTTACAGGCCTTAAAATATCGGTCGGTCACGGACATTGTCCGACCCATTCGTGAAATTGTCAGACGTAGAAAAGAAACCACCGGACATTCTGTCCGACCAAAGTGAAACTGAGGTTTATTGTTTGTCCGACCCGAGTGTATTGGTGTCCGACCGAACTGTAGCTTTGTCCGACGGACGTAAATCAAAAAGTACCCTAGTCCAGGAGGCCAGGACTAGAGGCAGGCTTATATGTTAAGGAGGCTCCCTACAGTTGCGTGCGGAATGTTCGCGGGACCAGTACGTGAACTATCCCACGCAACCGCATGATCAAAACAAAACAAAATATTTTTTTTTTAAAAAAAGCTATTTCTGAAAGGTTTCTAATGGGAAAAAGCGTTGAATAATACTTCGTTTTGAGTGCCAAATTACTTGCGGGTCTATACAGCAATTCTACATATGATACGAATACCACTAGACCAAAAATAGCTACGAAACAATGTTTTTTAATGTTTTTGAAATATACATTGTCAACTGTAAAACATTTGCAAAATTGCATACAAACGTTTAAAAAGTTGTTTACTTCTCAAGAAAACGTTCACGTTTTTAGTCGTGTTTCTACAAGATTAAAGTGATTATATGTAAACAGAAAAATATTTCAGTTTCATAGCCTAATTGTTCATTTTTAGCAAAAAGTACAAAACCAAACATGAAACAAAAAACACGTCCACCTGTTAATAGGCTGTTACAGCTCATAGATTGAGTAAACGGCAGGATTCAATTAGCTTCAACCTTGTTTTCATCGATTTAATCCTTCAAAATAATCCTTGGCTGTCCATAGCACTCAAATAAATCAAAAAGTTGACAAAAACAAAACAGTAAAAACAACATTGCGGCTCGATTTTGCTGAATGAAAACTCGTTCTGCGCCCGCGTACAATCTTTTACTAGTCAGCGACGCTTTTCAACAGGGGAATTTCTCGAGTTACACGAGGCTATTTTCTAACTTTATTTGCATTTTACTCATTAGTTTCATCGGTGACCTATCTTCAAATTTTGACCCCGAATTTATTTTGCGGTAAATTTTATAAATTTCAAATTTTAAAAAAATCTGTAGTGTGGAAATTTCGCAATAAATTTTTCGCTTTTAAAAAAATCACACACTACAGAATTATTTTAAACTTTCACCACAGTTGCAGAGCATCATTTCTTATTGATATATGAAATAAAAAAGATAGGTCACCGACATCGTTTTTGAGATAGCGGCACATTTATGGGTTAAATTGGAAGGCTTTATGCTGTCGTCATGTTGCTATGGGAACATTGACATCGTCGAAATCTAGTTCGAAATATTCCTTAGGTGACCAATATTGCCACCAAGTCGAAAAGAACTCGCGTTCTGCACGAATAAGCCTGTTTTACGGAATTATTGCTTAAACAAGAATAACTGTAGGGAGCCACCTTAAATGGAAAATCAGAGTACTATTGTATAAAAGGTCAACTGGAAATGTTGTTTTAACGTAGTCGAGCGCGGGGCGGCGAGCGAAATGGTGAAGTGGAAAATGGGCTTAAGTTGTCGAAGTCTTTTTGATACTGCTGTTCTGGCAAGCAAGTTAATTTTGGCTTGGAAATAAGTATGAAAGAAACAAATTTTTTAATATCTTTACAACATTTACCCTACCGTTTATTCATTTGTGTCATTCAGACTTATTTCCGAGTCAGAAATGAACTGAAGGTTATCGGACATATGTCCGACCCAAAGTCAATGTCACCGGACATTTTGTCGGACGGCCCTGGAAAAGATATTTTAAGGCCTGCAGTTAACATTTTTAATTCGACGTTTCGACTATCTTGCAGTCATCACTAGGAATCCTGATGATGACTGCAAGATAGTCGAAACGTCGAATTAAAAATGTTAACTGTTTTCGGAGTATCCATTGTTTTGTATTTTTTAAAACTTAGAATTTACCAATGCAAAATTCCTACTGTGATCACAGAAACTTTGATAGTGTAAACCAGGCCTACGTTATGTACTTACTTTGAAAGGCAATTCTTTATCGTCACTGTCTTTGCAACTGAAATCAAATGACAGGATTATTTCAACTTTCCGTTCAGGACGCAACATGGTAGGAAAAGGAGAATTGAAAGCGAGACCGCTGTCCACCAAGCACATCGTCTTGTGTTTGCCTGGGGCCTGGTCGTATTCACAGTCTAAAAAATGAGACAGAAACTTTTATAAGTATTATTACCGGCAGAAAAACCAAAGTGTGCCACACAACCCTCTCAAATACGAGTTTTGATATGACTGATCCTCTCACATGTGAAACTGGTGTTCCACAAGGCAGTATCCTTGGACCGTTACTGTTCATAAAGGCCCTGTCACACTATTGCGTATGAGAGAAACGTATGAGAAGCGTATGGAATTAATGAAATAATTTTCATACGCACAAAAATCCATTGAAATGCCAGCGTACGAGTACCGTACACCTGGCGTACATCTAGCGTATTCAGCGTGTCCTTAGAGTATGCTTATCGTACAAACGATACGTCCGAATACGCACAAAATTTTTGAGCATGCTTAAAAAAACATTTCTGCCTCGCCGTATGCCAGCGTATGCGACCGTGCCTGAGACGTATACAACCCATGCCTAACGTACCCCTAGCGTATGTCAGCGTATACCGGCGTATGAGTGATATTTTTCATACGCTAGCATACGCTAGTACGATACGCAATAGTGTGACAGGGCCTTAATATACATCAACGAATTAGCGAACGTACTGGAACACTCAAATATCTCTTTTTAGTATTTTTGCACAAATGAATATAACAAATCCTACAACCTGATTGGTCAAATTAAACGTATTAAGATGTTATATTCACCTACAGGTGAATGAAACAAAACCGAAATTTTGTAATATTTGGGTCATTCCAAGAAGAAATGTAATGTATTTTTGTAGAAAGGCCGGATTTTCAGGGGAGGTGTGGGAAAGTGCGCACATCTCCATCAGATTGTTTTGCACCTCCCTTGAAATTTTTTCCACCTCCTCTGAAAAGTCATGCACCTCCCCTGGGAAAGTTCATACATACAATGATAGCAGTGGTGTAACTTTACTTTTTTTACCACTTGCCCACAGGGCAAGTTGGATATGAAAATTAGTTGCCCTGAATAAAATTCATTTGCCATCAGACAATGGCCACTGGGGTACCTAGGTAGGGGGTATAAATTAAGGGGACAACATGTCGACCCGTTCTCCCACTGTTCTATATGGCTATGTTATACTGCCTCAGATCTAGCTTTGGCCCGCAAAAAACAAAATTTGAATCAAGTACATGCACTATAAAAAAGTTATCCGACATTGAAAACATAAACTTAAAGATACCCAGCTTTTTGTGGCAAGGCAACTTGCCCAATCGGGCAAGCAAGATAAAACGTTTACTTGCCCGTCATGATATTCACTTGCCCCGGGCAACAGTGTGACCAGATATTTTGCAAGGCAATTACTAAATAAGGGAGCAAAAAATTACCAAAACGTAGAAAAAATTACTAAATTTCTGCTGTCAACCAAAGTGGTCTGAAAATCAATAAAATATCTTAGCAAAACAAAATCAGTAAAATGCTTTCCATCACTGAAACTATGTTTTTTCCATGTTTTTCTTTCTCATTTGTACTTTTTATTGCAATTGTACAACATGCAAATGTGGCACCGCGATGATCGGGCCCGAGTCTCTAGCTGGCAATCAGCACAGGGTGAGTAGTGATCAGCACGATTCCGTCGATTCATCTGGACCAGCAGCATGCAATTTGGATGAGCTTGGATCGCAAAATATTACCAAAAGTAATTAAAATTACCAAATCTGGTCACACTGCCGGGCAAGCAGGCAAGTGCAACTCTGATGATGTTACATGCATACGTCACGTCGTGACTTTACGTTTTGTGGTGAACTAGACTGCAAACTCCCCCATCATTTCTACCAAAATCCGGCCTTGCTTTATAGAAAAATCAAGTTTACTATATTTATATTGGAGACCTATATCAGTTCTAAATTGTTCTCCCTAGAGGTCTACTGACGACCATCCCATGTAATGAGCCAGTGTTACTACAGGAGAAAATATTGGAAAAATTTCAACGAACCATCACACTTTATTTACACTGAATAGCTTTATTTATAGTAAAGGTCATTCCTTATATTGATCCGGTGTTACTACGGAGTATGGAAAGAATTCTAAACTAAAATAACTTGATTTCTATGGTTTCTCCAGTTGGTACAGTGTTACTACAAACAAACAAACAAACAAACAAACAAACAAACAAACAAACAAACAAACAAACAAACAAACAAACAAACAAACAAACAAACAAACAAACTACAAACAAACAAACAAACAAACAAACAAACAAACAAACAAACAAACAAACAAACAAACAAACAAACAAACAAACAAACAAACAAACAAACAAACAAACAAACAAACAAACAAACAAACAAACAAACAAACAAACAAACAAACAAACAAACAACAGCAAGCAAGCCAAAACAAAACAAACAAACAAACATCAAAAGTATACCTTGTTCTTTCTTGAATTCCAGTCCTCGCAAAATGTTAAACACTTCAGCAGCTTTTCCTCGACGAGATGAAATTTCCAGGAGTGAGTAGATCGGAAGAGCGTCGTGTAGGATCCCCCTGCTGCAAAAACAAAAAGCAGCTGGTTAAACGAGATGGGGATGTACTGCATGTGGGTTCCCTTATTTTTCACCCTGCTCGGTTTCCTTTGTTCTTATCGGGGAATATATTCAATATTCCCCTCTAATCAATTTCCGTTTAATAATCCCCGCTAATATTCACCTGCAATTAATAATCCCCGCTAATATTCACCTGCAATGTTTTTGCAGCACCAAAAATGAAAAAAAAAACATAACGAAGGTAATATGACATTAAGAATTATTTCTATTCTTACTCATTAATTAATGCGACCTCGCAGTGTGAAAAATAAGTATGTTATTTTGAGGCACCTCGGGGATATGTGTTTATATATTCTCCCCTTATTTTTCACCCTGCTCGGTTTCCTTTGTTCTTAGCGGGGAATATATTCAATATTCCCCTCTAATCAATTTCCGTTTAATAATCCCTCTAATATTCACCTGCAATTAATAATCCCTCTAATATTCACCTGCAATTGTCTTTGCAGCACAAATAAATGAGAAAAAAAAACAACATAACAAAGGCAATATGG